ATTTCATTGAAGAGTTCAGCTCGTTTCAACCTAACGATCACTGCTCCGCTCTCTCCATGCGAAGCTGCCGTTTCACAACACATCAGCTCTATCTATTGGCAGGAAGTGAGAGCGGAACAGTGTGAATGCTCTCATCACGTGGAGTTCACCGCTGGTTGCCTCACCCCCCTGGTTTCTATACAAATGACGTGAATCCACGACATTTGCCACCGATCTGAATGCACCATTAGTCCCTTTTATTTGTAGTGGATTTTTTTTCAGTTTATGGTAAACATGCTTACAAAAATGTCAAAATAGAACATTTTACATTATGGTATCACTGCTGCCACCCTCTGGTTTAAAAGAGAACTGTTTGTGCAATAGGTCGTGAATTACATCCTTATTAAGAAAAGAGCAAAACAAATCTGTCAAAAAGCACATTTCATGAATGATTCCTGATATTTCCTGGCAAATATGAATTAAAAGAAAATTGACTGTTGTTTGGCTTTGAAGTGCTTTATTCAAATATATTTAATATGTATAAACTTTAGAAAACAGTTGAAGGAGAAAAGCAACACCACTAAAATATTAGATGTTGGCAAGAAAGGGAACATTATGCAAAACTAGAAAAATGGCTACAACACAGATAAATCCAATGAACACATCAGAGGAACAGTTAACATCAACATTACTCTTTCTGCTGACTAAAAGTCTAACAAATGTCCAACAGGACACAATACTCTACTAAAACATTTCAAAAGTTTAGATGTTTGCGTGTCGTGGAGTCATTCCTCAGCATGAAAGCTTCATCATCTCTCCATAACATCTAGTGTAGTAAGCGTCAGTCTTTAGCCCAATACCAGCATAAAGGGGCTGAGACAATGTGGCGTGTTCTCTGTGGAGCAGGGTCATATTTTCAGAGACATTGTAGAAAGCCAGAGTTCCCACCTTATAATCCAGGTACACGCTTTTATCGGAACATATAGTCATTTCCAGAACACTCCAAGCTCCATCATTTGTCGTTATTTCCAAACTCTGACTCCTGTGAAGATCTGCAGATGTCTTTGTATGCTACAGCTACAGGGCAGAGGGTTAGGGATAGGGCAGCTGTCCCGAGAAATACATCTTTTGCCGCAAATATGATTTTTGAAAAGATGGTTACAAGGAAATTGGAGCTTTATTGTTAAGTTTCATAAAATCTTTTGGTATTATTACTTTCTTTCGATTATTAAAAACAGCAGTATTGGGAAGTACCCCCACCAGCTATCATGCCGCTGACACAGTTTCTCTGAATTTTAACAAGCTGCTTCACATAAGGCTGGCTGCGCTGCAGGTGGAGACAGGAAAATACAGAACCATATATATGTACAGGTAAAAGCCAGTAAATTAGAATATTTTGAAAAAACTTGATTTATTTCAGTAATTGCATTCAAAAAGTGTAACTTGTACATTATATTTATTCATTGCACACAGACTGATGCATTCAAATGTTTATTTCATTTAATTTTGAT